GTAAGACGATTTTTGTCCTTGGATAGTAATTATTATTTCCTATTTGCTTATGCATAGACAGTGTGAAAAATGGCTAATATTTCCTTTAAACGTTGCTTTTGTCACCAGAACAATGATATTTCTGAAATTTAGCTCTTCCTATTGGGAAAACTGGCGAAACTGGTAGAAACAAAACAACATATGATTCAAATGTCGCATTTATTGATTCTAGGATTACACAAGAGAGACCACAAGAATTTACAAGTTAGTAGGGTTTTTTTTTTGTGATTTACGTTTATATTTATGCTGTAAATTATTTCACGTGTCATTTCCCAAAAATAGTCTCCCATCATCTTTTTGTTATATGATCCTAGGTAGCCAGAACATTCTAGAAATTCTTGAAATTTTAGAAAGTTCTCGAAAGTTCTTGAAACTTCTAGAAAGTTCTAAAAAATTTTCCTTCAGCAACTCAGCGCTGAATCTGTCTGAAATGTAAAGGAAACTAGGTTAGTTTCAAAAGATCGATGTCCATGTCACAGATGCAAAGTTTGAAGAGAATAATAGTCGTTTCATTTGCTTTTTAGAAAGAATCAATTAGGAAAATCACTTACTGATCAAAGATAATAATGTCAAAATTTTCTTACAAGTGTTATTCGTGAAGATGTCTGTTCGTGATTATACGCAATTTCTGAAGTCGGCCTGTTGTGTTAGGTTTCAAGATGGCTTCGGAATTTCAGATTGCAAAACTCATTGAACTTACATGTTGTATGAAAAGACCGTGACTAATAAAAATCCCTGTCTGTACTCGCATATATAATGCATTTCTGTCTGTTCCCACCCTGCTCACGTGTTACCATTAGACACGGAATATGAAAGCAGACATGACAATTAGATCTTTAACAGGAGGAATGTGTTAAATTAGACGTGCAAGATCGACTCTACACAAATTTTCACACAAGCACACAGACACACACACAGACACACACACACACACACACACACACACACACACACACATATATATATATATATATATATATATATCTTTGGACTGATAATCACGTAAAGCCTTAAACTGCTAATCACCATGTAGTGTCAATTGTTTCCATCTGTCCATCTATTTCGCTCACCCCCACACCACACACACACACACACACACACACACACACACACACACACATATATATATATATATATATATATATATATATATCAGGTCATCCCATAAGTTCTGTCCGAATTTTGAATAAATAAAACAAGTGACCAAATGTTACATTTAATTACAGATTTAATCAACAATGTATTTTCCCTGATTATCTATGACTTCCTTCCATCTATTAACAAGCTTACTAATTCCATTACTGTAAAATTCTTTTGGCTTTTGATTCGAAGAACTCACAAATGTCAGTTTTAACCTCTTCCTGTGTTACAAAAAGCTGTTTCTTCCAAATGATTCTGTAAGCTACAGAACAAATGGTAGTCTGAAGGAGCAAGATCGGGAGAATAAGGTGGATGAGGATTTTTCTCCCAACCAAGTTCTTCGATCTTTTGTGACGTGATTCTTGCTGTGTTGGGTCGCGCATTGTCCTGATGAAACATCACCTCTTTTCGATTCATTAGAGCAGGTCTTTTTTTCCTCAAAGCTTGGTTCAAACGCTCTAATTGCTGACAGTATATTTGAGCATTAATTGTTGCATTAGGTGGTAAGAATACAAAGTGGATTATTCCTTAGCGATCCCACCAGATTGAAAGAAGAACCTTTTGCCCACGAAGTTCCCTTCTCGGCTGTGGCTGGGCTCCTTCCCCTTTACCAAGCCACTGTCTACGACGCTTAACATTTCGATAAAAAATCCATTTTTCGTCGCCAGTCACAAGTCTATCCAAAAAAGGTGAAACAAGTTGGCGAGAATGGAGAGAAGAGCAGATGTCAACTCGGGATTTGAGGTTGTTTTCAGGCTATTCATGAGGCACCCATTTTCCAAGTTTAGGAACTTTTCCAAGTTGTTGAAGATGACGATGAACTGGTGTATGGTTTGAACTGAGAACCACTGCCAATTCCTCAACTGATAAAGCAGGATTTTCTTCAAGGGCTGCTTCAAGAAGCTTTTCACCAAACTCAACTGGATGTCCGATTCGATCTTCATCTTTAAGGGGGAAATCTCCACCTCTGAATATTGCAAACCATCTTCTGCAAGTTCTTTCGTTCACACATTCCTCTCCATAAATTGAGTGAATGTTTCTAGCCGCTTCGGCTGCTGAGTTTCCTTTCTTGAACTCATAAAGCATTATGTGCCTCAAATGATTCTTGGATACTTTCATGTTAGCAGGGTTTTAATTAAACAAAATTTAATTTTATTGTTCTCTGAAATAAAATTTGATAAGTTTAAATGCATCTAAACATAAAAATAATGTTCAGCTCCATTAGACATTATAAAATACTCTTTAAATTTCGTTCATTTTAAAAAAAGGTAAAATTCGGACAGAACTTATGGGATGACCTGATATATATATATATATATATATTGCTTGAACGTTATTTTTAATGGATATCCAGATTTGAGTAGATGCTCTATTTTTATTTATTTATTAAATAGTATATTTATTTATTTCCATTTACTCAAATATGGGTATCCATTAAAAATAACGTTTAAGCAATAAATTAAAATATGTCGGATTAATAAATGAAAAATCAATTCCTAAACACACACACACACATATATATATATTATTCGAAATCACTACAAAAATAGCCATTTTGTTTCAACACTTCTGGTGTCTTATCAAGTGATGGTGTTGAATGTGGAATAAATGATTTTAAAAAGTTCAAATCAATCAGAGATCCCTCGCAAGGGGAAATGTTGTTACATAATCTGCAATGACCAATCAAAATACAAGAATATGAGAATTCAAAAAACTTTACAACGAACCTTGGTTATAATAATTAATGCTTTAATGTTAGAATTAGACTAAAATAGAAATCATTCTAATATTATTAAATTTTAGTATTTAATTGAAAATTAAAAATTAGCAATTTTAAATTTAATCTGTATTAATTTTAAGAATTATAGAATTATTTAAAGAAACTGAGGAAAAATACATGTTTTTTTATTTATTTTGTTTTTAGTGAAAGGCCAAAAATTCAGTTAGAATAAACGCTAAAATCTAATGTTCTAGCTTTGTTACATTTCAAGTGATGACGTGGGCAAGGGATGGTGAAATCTTGCAAAAAACAATACATACACAATCAGATTATAATTCACAAACACTTAGACATATTTAGATATATAAATATGCAAAAACGCGAACGAAACAGGAAATAGATGTCCACGAACCTTAAAAAGCCCGACAACATATACATTCAATGAAAGGCATATATAAGCGATTTTACACACATACATTGATAAAGACACACACATATACACACCAAGAATTATTCAAATTTAAAAGTGTTAGTAAACGAATTCAAATATACTATTAAAATATAACTTATATGGGCAAAGATATATAGATAAAAATGATTCAATAGATAAAATTTAATATGGGTAGAATAGAAAAACAAATAATCGTCAATGAACAACATAAGGAAAAAATATACTAAAATATATAGAGATGGATAGAAAAATAAATATATACTCATACACACACGTAAAAAAACACCAAATTCAAATTTCTAGGCAAATGTAACACTTAAAATAAAATAAAACTAATATATAAAAAAAAAGAATACTCATAAACACACAAATATATATAAATATCTCATATATAGTTTAACGTTTACTGTTACTGAATTTTTGGCCTTTCAATAAAAACAAAATAAATAACAGAACCTACATATTTTTTCCTCAGATTCTTTAAATAATTTTATAATTTTTAAACTTAATGCAGATTAAATCTAAAATTGGTAATTTTTAATTTTATAATAAAATTTAATATTAATTAGAATGATTTCTATTTTAGTCTAACCCTAACATTAACGTATTAATTATTATATCCAAAGTTCGTTGTCAAGTTTTTTGAATTCTTATATACTTGTATTTTGATTGTTTGAGTGTTTCCTCTAGCGAGGGATGTTTGATTGATTTGAACCTTTTAAAACCCTTTATTCCACATTCAACACCATCACTTGATAAGACACCAGAAGTGTTGAAACAAAATGGCTATTTTTGTAGTGATTTTATGTTATAATTTTCGAATAAATTATATTTGCTCTACTCTGTATTGAGCACTCTATTAAGAATAGTATTTTTTGGTTATTGGAATTTATTTCGTATACACCAATCCTATTCTTGGGCATATATATATATATATACATATATATATATATATATATATATATATATATATATATATATATATATATATATATATATGTGTGTGTGTGTGTGTGTGTATATATAGCTATTTACTAAACATAGATTAGATGTGGCACAAAGCCGAAAGTATAGAGTAGCCAATGAAGATCCAACTCACTTCTCATTTGAAAGTGATCTGCGAGAAAGTGTATTTGCATTACAAGTACTTCATCTGATAAATCATATATAATATATAAATACACACACATACACGCACAATCTCATATATAAATATTGAGCTGGGCACTTCGGCGTAGTGTAACAATTAACAATTCTTTCTCGCAGATCAATTATAACTGAAAAGTGAATTGACTTCTTACTCGGTGGTCTATATATATATATATATATATTTGGTGAGCGCTTTCTAATAAGTACCGCGCATATAATATATAAATAATTATACATATATATATATTTATTTATATTTATATTCACTTTTCACACACATTATCTGATAATCTGTTATCCTCAGCATCTTTCTGTAGGATCACATTTCCGTTTTTTTCAAGTCTCTTCTTCATCTTTGATGAGATTGCCCAGTTTTTCCTATCATATAGCAGGACAGATATCACTTACCTGCCCAGCGTGCTTATCATTGTTTCTAGCCAACTTTTTATTTTACTCTGACTCTTAATATTCTGATTTGTGATATTTTTTCTTTGTTTCAAGATTACAAGCGAAGTTCGTCTTCAGCCTCACCCGTCAGATCACGCAACAGTTACAAAACGCAGACCCCACAAACAATAAAGTGCCAGATCTCAAAAGCATCATGCGACAAAAAAGGCAACAGAAAAAAGGTAAGTTATATTCCCAATATGAAAATTAGAAATCTGTTGTTAAACAGCCTCACTGCTATTCTCAGCTTGACTCTTAACTTCAGACCCGACCATTTAGCAAACATGTCAGTTTCTTTCAAAAAAAAAAAATCAATTATAAGTTATTTTAGAGTGTTTCAGCAGTACGAACCGCTGCTCTGTAGAACCTGACTCCCAAGAGGATGCTTCCCGGATCGCTACAATCTTAACCTGTTCAAGTCTAGGTTCAACCATTACCTTTGTCACATATAAACCGAGCCTCTTTCCCTGTAATCCTCTACCTCGAGTGGATCTTGGGCCTTGTAAAGGGTGAACATCACTGTACAAAAAATATGAAAAAGTGATGGTTAGTCGGCTTCAATTAATGTATACCTTTTTCTTTGTTTCTTCCTTTTATTAATTTTTACCCAATATAAGGCTCCAGAGCCACTCCGGTTAGAGCTTTACATTCGAAATAGTGATGATCATTGAGATATGTGTGTGTGTGTGTGTGTTTTACTTAATTTTATCCGATACAATGCTCGAGCAAAGTAGAGGGTTACGGATAAAATAGCGATATTTAATGAGGCAAGTTTAATGTGTTCCGTGAAGTATCCACACGAGAATTCCGCAGTTCAGCAAAGTGGCAGTTTGATTGGAATTTCCTTCTTACATTTGGAACATGGAGTAAATGAGAATGTTTCAACTCCATGGTTGTAGCATGAGGCGTCCTAGCAGTAAAGTTTGAAATTAACAGAATAAGGCTATTGTATGTAATATAAATGCAATTATAATGTTTTTAGCCCAGAAATTAATTCCAAATAATTTCAATATAAGAATGTATTGATAATGATTTTTGTACAGAAATACGTTGCATATAATTTTGCTACAGAAATACATTGTAAATAATTTTACTACGCTGCATATAATGCGTTGCATATAATTTTGCTACAGAAATGCATTAAAAATAATTTTTATACAGAAATACATTGCATATAATTTGGCAACAAAAATGTCTTGCAAATAATTTTGCTAAGTAAATGCAATGGAAATAATTTTACTATGGAAATGCACTGAAAATAATTTTAATACGGAAATGCAGTGGATATAATTTGCCAACAGAAATTCATTGCAAATAATTTTGTTACGGAAATGCATTGGATATAATTTTACTACAGAAATGCATTACATATAATTTTACTAGAGAAATGCATTGAAAATAATTTTACCAAAGGCGCATTTCGAATAATCTTGCTACGGAAATGCATTGCATATAATTTTGATACAAAATGCATTAAATTAATTTTACTACAGAAATGCATTGCATATAATTTTGATGCAATTTGCTATAATTTTTGTTTATGGTCTGTTGTTGTCATCATTTTAAGAAATTGTTTTATAATCACATGGCGAGTTATAATCAATAATGTCAGGCAAGTGAAGAATTTGATTTAAAAAAAAATAAGACAGCCATTAAGGAAAAAATAAATAGACAAAGCTCTTCGCAGGATATAACCTGTGCTTGCCTGGACTATTTTGGGGATTTTCCTGGGGAGATGGTGCTCCAGTGATTTTCTTGATTTGTTCTTGAGTTCCTTTCTTTATCCGTCCCAAAGCTCCAACCGCAACAGAAACAGTTTTAGATTTTAGCGGCCACATTTTTCCATTTCCATCTACAGGTTTTTGTATTTGTTTAGTTTTTCAAAAGCCTTCTCAGTGATTTTTTTTTTCACTTGGTCTGCTCATGCCAATCAGTGTGCAAACATTTTCTTTTGTGTCTGGATTGCTTGTATTGTTCAATCTGTGTCGATAGAAAAATTGCTGGGGATGCTTACATCTTCTCTTTCAAATACAGATTCAGGATGATGTTTATACCAGTTAGCAGCTGTTTTTATCCCGTAGTGATGAAAGATCTTCCGATGTAGATATTGACTTACCCTGTCATGACGGTTTTCGTATTCATTCGGTGTGAGTATCTGCTTGGAATGAGAAATCCCAGTCGAGTTCCTTACATTCATTTACGCGCAGATACCCTTGCGAAAGGAATGAATCCATCTCTACCCCTTCCCAGATATGGGTTGAACAGCAGGATAGACTAGGTCCTATAGCCTTGGTTAGCAAACAGACTACCGTAGAAAGAAACGGCAACCTACTGCGGGAATTTCTTCTCTCTTGTCAGTCATGAATTGAAAGAGACATATTTGCCGAAACGTCTACCACCTATGGCACTTCCTGACATGAAGAGATCAATAGTTCCGGTCACAGAACTCGTTCTGTTGTATACACATTTCACACTGGGTTCCGACCAGAGACCTAAGGTCAGAAATGGCTTCGTGATATTTTCCACTGATCATTTTTGAAAAAAAAAAATAACACTAGGATTACACACATAGATGAAGGTCTATGTGAGCTGTACTTGTGAGTGCAAATTTTGTATTTCTTTAAGTCATGGTTTACCAGGAATCCCTTCAATGAGTCTATTGGAACCTTTTCCTAACAATCCGAGGGTACAACTGGAATTACTGATGTCCTCATGTCATTTTGAGATTCCCATTTCAAGCTCCTAAATATAATAATAAGCTCCTAAATATAATAATAAGCTCCTAAAAATAATAATAATAAAACTATCAATAGTTTTATTATTATTATTTTTATTTTCTTTGATTTCTGGCGTTTACACGTTTCTTTCCGGGGCCCGCCCAGGGACCTAGGGTTAGAAATGGCAGCATGACACTTTCCACTGACAAAAAAAAAAAAAAAAAAAAAAAAAATTACATAAATAAAGCCCTTCGTAAAGTGTGGGCTGTACTTGTCAGAACAATTTTTTGTATCTCCTTGAGGCATGGACTTCCAGGAATCCCTTCAATTAGTCTACTGCAATCTTTTCCAACCAGTCCTAGGGCTCCAACTACAACAAGGATTGTTGATGTTCCCATGTGCCACATTATAATTATTATTATTATTATTATTACTAATTGTGTATATTATGTTATGATTGTATTACAATCTGCAGGGACTGCCATGTCAATAAGAAAGCACATTCTGTTCTTGTAGTCTTTGATCAAAATGTCTGGGCGATTAGCTTTGTTTGTTCTGTCTCTGTGTATTGTAAAGTCACATAGAATTGTTACAGGTCCTCTCTCTGTAACCAGGTCTGGGTTATGTTAATACCAGTTTCTTGCAGTTTCTTGCCATAAAAGTTATAGATTTTCCAATGTAGATATGAGACAAGAAAGACATTCGGATTACTAACACAAAAACAGAGAATGTCTCATATCGAGAATATTTAACATTGGAAAACATAAGGAAAAAATTAATTATTTTTAATAATATGTGGAAATCTCCGCTTTTACCTGAAGATGGTCACAAGACCACAAACACGTGTAGTAAAATTATGGAAAATAAAGCATAATATTTTTTCTAAAAAAACATTACAATCAAAAAACATTTGCGGCACCTCTCTTCTCTTCTTTTTAATATATATATATATATATATATATATATATATATATATATATATATATAAGAAATATGTCTTAATTCTGACATTACGCTTCCTTCCACTTTTTAACTTTCAAAAGAGGTACCGATTTGTTTTCAAATTTCCCAAATAAATAATTTGTATTATCTTATCTACCATCGCCCGATGAGATACCATTAAAGTTGCGAAACATAAAAGTTTTGTATTTAGTCAATATTGGAGATAAAGTATTTATACAACATGGACATAATAATCAACACATCCTGGAGAGTGTCAGTTTCAAAATTTAATGTGATCTTCGTATCAAGTGCCACTATTCATTTAGGGGACTTTTACATACAGATGACTCTAAAGCAGTAGTAGCACTTGGTCTGAAGATCGTACTGAGGAGTGTATGGACACATACACGCACATATATATATACGTCATCCACAGACAGACTGTTTCGCAGCTCATCAGTGCGGCGAGACATCCGGTTTCCTCTAGCTAGGATCGAAAACCTTGACTTGGTGTCAGTCGGAGATTCTAACCATTAAGCCGTCGGCGCCAGGTAAGGATGAAGGTGGATTTTTAGCGTATTTATTTTTAGAAACAAGCCCAGTGACCGACAGTGACTCGACTCGCTTTTGCGAAGAGTCTCGCTATATAGCTATATAAATAGTCATATATATATATATATATATATATATATTATTTCTATTATATATATATATATATATAATAGATTTTTTTCTGTAGTTCACTGCTAACAGCAAGCAGAAATATTTAATTTCTCCTTCCGATGATGGCCATTTCGGTCGAAACTAGTCGAGGAATCTAAATTGAATAATAATAATAAAAAAACGAAAGAATATTAATCTACAACCCAGTGTGTCTAATGATTTTAATTTTTAATTTTTTATTTTCTTATTGTTCAAAATATATATATATATATATATATATATATATATATATATATATATATATATATATATATATATTTCTTTGAAAATATAGGATATGGGGCTTCCGGAGGAAACAAGAACAAGTTTTATGTCGAAGGCCAGAAAGAACAGCAGGAAAATGTTTTCACTGACAAGACAAAAGAGAAAACATCTGACGAATGTGATCAAGAGCAAGAAGAAAATTCCTCAGAAGCAGACGATAATCAAACGAGTGAATTGGCATCAAATGTACTGCACGCCGTAAACAGGCAGGAAGCTGTAGAAGAGGAGATATCCAGCCCAGAAATGCAGGTAAAAAAGGGATTTTTTTTCAGGTATTTTAATTGAAGCAAAGGAGTATCTTAATTTTTCATTATTTTCTTGCTTGCTTTCAATCTCTATCCTCCTCACCCCCTCTCTCTCTCTCTCTCTCTCTCTATCTATCTATCTATTTACACATACATATTTGGTTCGTTAGAAATGGAGGACAAGTACTTCTATTGTTTTAATTGTATTTTTTCTTGTATGCGAACAAGCGATTTCCTTTTTGCTCACATATGACAGAAATACAATGAATCATCTTAACACAGGCAGCTTTTCAGTCACTTTTAATAAAACATGCATTATAGCGGGACTGTTGCCCAAACACGCGCACACACATACACAGACAGATATACACAGACAAAGGCATACAGATACACACGCACACACACATACACACACGCGCATGCACACGCACGCACACACAAACACATATATATAAAATTGTTTTCTGTATTTGTTTTTTTGCCAAAATTACAGGAAATTTTTGCAGGAAAAATGAATCCACCACACACACATATAGCATTTCAACCTTTGGAAGTAAAGTCTGATGATCCAGAACCCTGTTAAAGGGGTTGTGGTGAAATAACTTATTACATGGAACCTTAAAGTGGTCTGTTTTTATTCAAATATATATATATATATATATATATATATATTCACGTAAGACGAGAACGAATAGAGTACAATTCCAACGCATCGAAACACGACAGCAATTTTATCTCGATTTTGACATGTTTTCGGTATGATATCATAAAATAAATCACACACACACACACACACACACACACACACACACATATATATATATATATATATATATATATATATATATATATATATATATATATATATATTGCTAAAGTTACCTCGGTTGTATTTGCCCAAATACGTCAGGTTTGGTTAAAATTCCTCAAGGCAAAATTTAAACCGAAACACACACACGCAATTTCATGATTACATATTATAGACGGTCAGATTCTTATAAATGCAGTCTCTGTATCTGATTGTGAATAAAACGAAATTTGTTTATACATGCTTTGAAAATTGCATCTTACAGTCTAAATTATTATTATATCTGTTTTCCTTCATGAAATAGTGAAATTACATTAATATCTTCAGTAAGCTTCTAGCATTATAATTCCTTCTTTTTTTTTCCCCATGTACTTTTTTTTATACGTTACATTTCTTCTTCACACGAAAATTTTCCATATCAGTTAATTAGACAAGACTTACCTCCCTTGGATGTTCTGGCACTAATTTTCTCATTATCCTGACTCTCAAATGATTCAATTAATCGAACATTATGGGTTGTTTACTTTCATTTCGGTAGCCAATTAAAGAAAACGGAAAGGATGAAGATGAAGAGGAGCCGGTTTTAATGATGAAAGAGTGTCTTAATTTATTAGTCAACTTAAACGCCACTCAATCTTTGATGGAGTCTGAGTAAGTGACGTTTCGTTTTTTTTTTCTCTTTCCAGCTTTACACTAATTGAAGTTTTGTGCATTATTACCACGGATAAACTGGTTTTCGTGATTGGTTTATAGACGTTTACGCAATAAAACTAATTTTGATCTAACAAAATCACTAATCCTTCATATCGCAGATACTAATGATGTCAAATTAGTAAATGTTGCTTAGTTTATTGTGTGATCTATACGTTTCTGCAATCTAGTAATGACACTAGTTTCCTTCTAGGGAATATTACAAAGTATATTGAGCAATAAAATGCATTGTTATTAATTTTGACTAGAAGATAAACCCTTACCAGACGCTGTAGATTTGCGTTACAAAATCAGAATGAGCTTTACCATACAACAACATCCACGCCACTTGAAAACTTCCAACAGCAGCAACGGTAAAAATGAGTTGCATATACAGCTAGAGAGGAAACTAATTACATAATGAAGATGCTGACTTTCCACACTACATTATGCAAAAGAATTGGGAGGAAACTCCCATTAATACAAGAAAGGACGATAAGAGTGAACTTGAGAAGTCTACTTTTCTGAAAAGAAAATGTTTTAAAAAAAATATTTTATAAATTTCAACCAACAGTAACGCTAACTGATCGATCAATGAATGCCGAATGTTTCCTTATAAAAAAAAAAAGGTTAATCTCATCTTTATCATTATTTCCTTCTTTTTTTGTTTGCATTTTAACGTAAGCAAACACACAAAGTCCTTCACACATATTTATACACTATGTTTTTTAATTTCGCGCATGCGCATTGTTTTGTTTTGGATTTTGTCGACTGCACAATATAGTAGGGTCAGTTGGGCACTCTCTATGAGAAAAGGAGCCCCATGACGAAATTCACTCCGCCAGAAATTTGGAAACGGCATGCAGTACTGCTTGGCATTCGCGCCGAAAGCTCCAATAGGAATATTTCAGTGTATTTGGGTATCAATATGGGGACGTGCAGAGGATTTTAAAAGACTTGGATGGTGTCTGGCAACAGGACTTCACCTTGCCACACAAGCAGGAGAACTCAGTCATGACTGTCAGAGAATTACATCTATGCCCCTTTCGTCTGCAACTCCCTTTTAATATTATGTGTAAGGCGCAGTTGAGCGAGAGACAAACAAAAACCCCTTGTAACCCCAAAGATGAACAAGATAGCAAGGATTATGGCAGCATTCACCAACTTAACTATGTAAACCGTCCAGAAGAGTTGCAGGAGATTCCGAAGTCGTCTGGAGACCGTGGTTGAAGCCATTGTCGATTTTATTGAATCATAATTTAATCTTTAGTATCTTAAGATATGTTTGTGTAATTTTGGTATATATACATGTTAAAATGAAATGTCAGTATTTTCATTTTGCGTAATTTAGACGACAATATATCCATCGCACCCTGTATGTATATATATATATATATATATATATATATATATATATATATAGATTTGGAATTTTAAGTAAGGTAGTAAAAAATTGTTTCCTGTCTGCATTTTGATATAAGTATTGAAGCTTTATTTCGTTATTTGTGTTGATCTGGAAAGGTAATTATAGCAATTTTCTCCTCCAGAGTTTACACTTTTAGGATTTATTGTTGTAGCCTGAACAATAACAACAATCAGCAATAAATAACAAAGCAAGCAATGAAAAAGTTAACAACACTATAAAATAGCGACAAAAATTCATTCGGGTTCACAATTATTTCCACTCTAGAATAATTTAAAATACATAAAGTTCGTGTGCACTTTAAAAATTTATAACTTTAAAGTGCACACGAACTTTACGGACACCCTGTATAACCGTTACCATCCCCCCCATAATAATCGTTATAATAATACAATCGACCTACCCATAATGCATCACTGATCAGTATATATATATAAATAATCGAGCCAAAACACAACACACAGAGGCTGACGATTGCTTTTAAGCATGAAAAATAATGTCGCCGTTGGGTGTTAACTTCAATTTCCACTTTTATATTTACAAACGCTCTATCCCTGATATTGAGCATAAACATAGCAAACCTAAAACTATATTCTTTATCATATATATATATATATATATATATATATATATATATATATATATATATATATATATATATAATTAATACAAATAAAATGTGTCACTTAGCTGATTCTGGAGTTTCGTAGTCGAACTTTTTAGCAATTGTTCTGTCGACTTCTCAGGAGGTTCCAACTAAATATTTTAGTTTATATGATTTATTCTTATTGCGAATATTGATAATAACGTATTAGCTTTTATTCTACAAAAGGGCAACATTTATATATATATATATATATATATATATATATATATATATATATATATATATATATATAAAAATCAAAAAGATATTGACAAAAGATATCATTATGACAATATCCCATTTATATGAATAAATTTTATTTTACATGTAAATATGATCTTCTTGTCTTTCTATAACCTTCATTTGTCTTTCTGCCATTGAATTTGATAATGTTTATGTAGTTTCGATACTGACATTACTTGAAGCAGTTTTTATACCTTCTCAAAGTTTTTTTTTTTTTAATAATAGTTATTCTTTCTCATAAAAATCTCATTTAATGATAGGCCACGAGTTTCCTTTTGGATCAATATGCGGAGATGCAGGCATAATGTATATATTGTATGCGTATTCCTTAATGTATGTATACTTGAGAGTGTTGGAAAATGTTCTTATTCAAACTAGGGACACTCTCTACAAATGTGTCAACAGGCAGATCACGTTCATCGTATACAATTAAATTTCGCACTGTTTTCTCAAACCAGTCTTATCAGTACTTTGAAAGTCAGTTATGCCACCGCAAAGATAAGCTCAGGCTCAAGTCAGACGGCCAGTTGCTGACCTGCTATTCCTTGGCTTTACCTTGACGCCTTGTTGAATCAATATTTCTCCAAGATGGTTGGCGTCTGCTGCAGCAGAGATGCAACAAGATTATCAATGGATGAAGCAATAATCATTACCATCCTTTTGTGTCTAGCGAAGAAATTTAATCTTACCTTAATCTCTCGTCGTACATTCAAGAATTGTTTATACAATATGAACTCATGAATATGTGAATATAATTGAACACACATGTCTGTTGGTTTCCTGATTCACAACTAACTAACGTAGTCGCGTCTTTCCTGCCGGAGACTTTGTTTTACACTATTATTCGACCAATACAGTGCCCAAGAGCCACTCAAGGTAGATCATTAGTGAATGAGATTTTTTAAATACTTTTTTTTCTTTACTAATTGTTCACCCAATATTAGGCCCTAAAGCCGTTCAATGTAGCGCGTTATTGACAGAAGTTGTATTATGAGTATAAGAATACGAAGTAAGAAGTGAGGATTATGAAGATATCTAGAATGTTGAACCTAGACGATAAGATTGTAGCGATCGGGGAAGCATCCACTCGGGAGTCTGTTCTATAAAGCAGAAACTCTTTGGAAGAAACTGTCCGAATGGAACTTCCTTGTTATCAGTGCGATACAAAGAGAATGAGGATGATTCGGCTCTTTGTATGTAGTATGGCGTGTCTTAGCTGTGAAGGTCTGAACTGGTGGAACTAAGGAATTTAGTTCGTCAGAACATCTGCCATGTAAATAGCGATAGAAAAGATTGTGATATTTCGTTCTTGGTAAGGGTTTGTTGAGTGGAAAATAATTAATCACCCTTGTAGACGTTTTTGAACCCTGTCATGGCTTGAGTAGTGAGGATTGAGCAGCTCCGATCCAGATACGGCAACAGGATTGCTTTTCAAAAAGTCAGAATTTTGAATAGTAAATTTCAAATTCAATGCGGTCTTCAACGAATATTCACGAAATGCAGTCTTCCTGTGCCCATTCCCACATCTTTGTCTTCTATTCTATTTAGCTAAACTTTGTAAATATCAAAAAGTGGATACGAGCAGCACAAGAAAATGGAGAGAAAAACTGTCAGTTGTATAATACAATATTAACTGTTTCAAGTGATATAGAATATTTATAAAGTACACTTATGGAGAGACTCTAAACTCGAGCTGATACTGTCCTTCCTCGAGTTTATTAATTATTCAATATTACTTGAGAAACAATAATTTTTAGTTTACAAAACACCACATGGCGGTTATTGGCATGAAACACGAGTTCGGCGTGCCGAGTTCAAATTGCAACCGGGATCCCTGTGTTTACTTTCTCACAAATATCCTTGTGGAAATTATGAATTTATCTGTTTACGCTCATCTATGGGTTAAATAGCCTTGGTTGGTAACTATTCTATGGCAAGCTCACCTATTAATGCAATGTTTACGACTGTGCTAAATAAAACAAGAGCAATGGCTTACCAGATGCCTAGCCCAGCCCAACAAAATCACCGGGTGGCGACATTTAGCAGCTGAAATGGCAAAATTCTGTGACCAGGAGACTGTGTGTCTGTGTGTGTGTGTGAGAGAGAGAGAGAGAGAGAGAGAATGAGAGAGAGAGAGATCACTAGCACGCAGGTTCTACTGATTGATATGCGCATAACCCCGTTGCTCACTTGTCTCAGACATTTCTAAATTAGTCTCCCATAAGACAAGCGGGGGTGACGGGATCCCAGCTATTGCCTCTTCCACGGGTGATGGTTACAGACATTACTTTGCCCCATAACTTCCTCTTCCTCTTATTATCATCTCCCACTGATCAGTGGGTGTGGGTGGCGCCTTCACCTTACTTGGTGACTCATCTGTGACACACTCCCACCAGTAAAGATTAATTCTATGTTCGTTGTTTACGCAGAAAAGTTTCCTATTCATAGCCCGTATTTTAGCAGTGTGTATAATCGACCAAATGTCAATCATTGTTGCAATTTGACCTGTCGCAGTTCAAATCCACTTCAATCCTATGTGTTTCATTGTTCAATACCCCGACACATAATTCAGATGGCTGTCTACATGAGAATTAAAATCTTCAATTTTTCCCACGGGGTTTATTCATTAACTCTACTTATTTTTTTTTTTAATCAGGGGTCTGTCAGTATATCTCTCCTTCTATTAAAAAAACCCAAACCTTCTTATGATTACCAGTAACAAATAGTGTCACACTCTTCCTCAATAGATGCTTTTCTCGAAATTCCATATCTGCACAGTTTCGTATCCAAAGAAATTTCCAAATAATTAATTGAATGTTGACGAATCTCGTCGAATGCAAATGGAAAACATGATCTGAAACTCCAAATGCCTTGACATGGGATTTTCGGAATAAAATAAATAGCAAAACTGATTGGTGGATATTTGGTACTGTTAAAGATAATAACAAGGATGCTTATATTTTAAATTTCCTGTCATAGGTGATATATATATATATATATATATATATATATATATATATATATATATATATATATATATATATTGGTAAACGTATAAAATTACAGTTCATTTAGATTATAAGTCAATTGTTAATGCAAGTGCCTTAAGTAACTTTGATTTTTTTTCTGTCTTTTATTTTAAAAATATTGTTTAGTTCGAGCGACAGCGACAGTGAGTCTGACCCGGAAGTAAAACATCAGCAGCGGAAGTGGCGTTCGAAACAACGGAAAAACCGGAAAAAAAGAAGCAGATCCTCACAGGTGAAAAGTTCAACAGGAGAAAAGGAAGCGAGAGGAAAAGCCCAGAAAAACACAAATGTAAGTGTAACAAAACCGAACAAAAATATTAGATCTACTCATCAATAATTTCTGATTTGGGGTTTTCAAGCTTATTCTTTAAAAAAAAGAAAAGAAACAAAAACATTTCAATTCAATTATATATTCAGCATTATTTGCAATGACTTTTTGCAACTTATCAGGTACCTTTTGCGTAAAAATCCACAGGTTTTGATGTAAAAAATGTTTAAACTAATTCTTGAAAGGAGTTTCCCAATGAAAACGTTTTTCAGATATCGAAAAATGGAATATAAAAGATGCAAAATCAGGCGTGTAAGGAAGAACAAAGTATTCCCCTATTCCCCTATATATATATATATATATATATATATATATACGTCTTATCAGTTTGTGACTTAAAGGGATAATTCCGAGAAGGATATAAAATCATAGACTACAGAGCATTTTAAAGATAATAAGATTTTTTTTACGGGGAGATTTCGGTCTGAAGAGTTGAACACATCGGTGTTCACGAAATAAATTATAATCGAAATGGATAATCTTCTTATTATTATATATATATATATATATATATATATATATATATATATATATATATATGCGTGTGCGTGTGTGTGTGTGTATTTGAAAAAGGACTTGATGCCACAGAACATAAACACCGATTTGAAAAAGCAAGACGGCATTTTTCATTTTCTAAAGAAATCCTTTTCGGGCGATAATTTTTCAAAAGTAACCGTTGGCACAAATCTGAGTAAACAAGGGATTATATTCGCAAAAGTAAATATTGAATGAAAAGTGGAACTCTGGAACGCGATTAAAACCAATTAAATAGTAAATAATTCACGATTAATATAAGTGATAAACAGTTCCAACTAAGTATAAAAGAGAAAAATTCTCAATCATGATTCTCCAAAACAAACAAAGAGCGAATGAAATGTTCTTTCTGCTTGCACAAATCCGGTTGACGTAACTTAATAATAACAGCTTCATGAAGACGCAAGTGGTGAGCAGACCGGGTTCTGTGCATAATAATGAAACAACTCTATGCATATTTGGTGGCACAGTCGGGATTATCAAGTAGATATTGACCTATTGCCGAATCATTTGCAAATTGATTCGTCCTAGAAAAAAAAATATCTTCTTTCTCGGGGGTTGGATTTTTTTTCTCTCATTTAAAGTGAACAAAGAGCAGATCTTTGCTGAGTTTGAACTATTATTCTCTCAGTTAAATTTGCATAAACCTTCCTCTCCTGACAATTTTACGTTGTATAAAACTAGATTAGCTGAATTATCTAGTGAATATTCTTCCGTCTCCGCAGATCGTGATTTTCTTGCGTGGCAGAGTGTTCAATTCCAGACTATTAAGTCTTTAAAGTCTAGAAGTGATATTTACATCACTAAGCCGAATAAAGGCTCTGGTGTGATAATTCTAAATAATAAGGATTATATTGATAAAATGGAAGCCATTTTACATGATTCCTCTAAGTTTAGAAAGATTAGTTCTGTAAATTTATGAGGCAATACCAACAAAATAGAGTAGAGAATACAGAGACTTTTGTTTTCTGTATATAAAAGCAACCTGATTTCCAAGAGTGTGTACAATCACATTACTGTTAGTTCCCAACGTTCACGCTTGCATGGTTTACCCAAGATACATAAGGACAATTGCTTCTCAGGCTCATTATTTCTATGATCGGTTCTGTACAGCACGAATTGGTTTGGCTGAAACACACTTACCTGTTTCTGATTTGTTTTCCATCCATGGTATTACTGACTCCTTCAAATTTTCTAATTTTACTAGAAATTTGGAAATTAGTTCTAACGACAAACTCCTACTGTCATTTGACATTGTTAGTTTATATATGAACGTACCTCTTCAAGACACCGTGCTAGTATGTTCCGACGCTCTCTACAAAGGTTGTATTGGTCTTGTTTTAATTCTGTAAGCTCTATTTTAAAAGTTTATGCATTTAGCAACTGAAGGAGTTGAGTTTAGTTTTGACAGTACTATGTACGCTCAAATCGATGGGGTTTCGATGGGTAGTCCTTTGAGTCCAGTATTAGCTGACATTTTTGTTAGGTTCTACGAGCAATTTTGTTTGAGAAATACCGTAAACCACATGTATATTTACGCTACGTTGATGACCCGTTTTTCATCTTTGATTCCATCAACGATGCTACGGCCTTTCATGCTCAGCTCTTCATCCATCGTTGCAATTTAACCTGTTATTCCTTGTTCAGGATATGGTTTACCGGTTATTTCTTCTTCTTTCAGGAACTTAATGATTTAACTGTCAACTTTCTCGTGATCGGACTACTCAGTGGCTGCGACTTTCCGTTATGAGGGTACCCGGTTGTCGGGTTGCTAGCTGGTACTTCCGACTGGTCGTTAACAGCAGCATAATATCAGGGTACTTGTAATGCCTTATCGCGCATGAGTTGGTGTCTCTGCATATATTTCCGGTGGACAACACTGAGGCCACATTATTCTCTGTTCTCATCCGGCTCAAACTAGGCCAGATAGTGATAATTATGTTGGCCTTTTCCTTTTCTCCCCAACTCAATTCTTCTCATGACCAACAACACGAAACGAAATACGAGAAAACCAGTAAAACAAAACAAAAAACAAAAACACCTATCAACCTCTACCTTCCTTTCTCCAATATTAGTCGTATCCGCTCCAACTTCAGCCGTATAGAATCTTTTCTCATGGAACAGTCGCCAGATATCCTTACACTTTGCGAGACGAACTTAAATTCTGCCATTGCTACCGATAAACTGTCTGTTCTAGGCTATCTTCCCTTTTAGCGAAAGAATTCCCGCATTCGCATATATGGCCTTGGTGTTTACTTCCGGGATAATCTTCCGGTGGCAAAGAAATTGTCCCTTCGGTTCTCAGACAACTCCTACATGAGCTTTTGTCTTTCATTATTAAACCCTGTTAGCTGTCTCTTTTTCCTTTATCGTCCCGCTTTCTCAGGATTACAGTATATTAGACATAATCTCTGACAATATAGAAACGGCACTCTCTCTCCATCCATCTGCGAACATCTTTATCGTCGGGGATTTTAATGCGCATCACGAGACGCGGTTTAAACATTTTAATGTTAGTGATACTGCCGCTGTTTAGACATTAAATGTTTTCCATTGCTCAATCCCTTGCTCTAATCGTGGATTTCCCTACCCGTTTTCCTATCATACCCGAGCAATAGGCTTCTCTAATGATTTATTCCCCACCGCCCCTTGTCACTCCTGCTGAGCTTCACGACACTGTCCTCTTGTAAACTCGGATCACTCTGTAGTATCTGTTGATATTTCATTGCAATTATCTACTAAACAGGAACATGATATTCACAAGACCTCTTTCCGTTACCAGCATTCTGATTGGCACCCACGTCGTGATTCTCTTCGAAACGCCTCATGGACTGCTATATTTAACGTTCAAATTGAGAATTGTGCCACTGGGGCTTCCTCTTGAGTTAAATCCGGTATGAATGCTTCCATTCCTTCTCGGATTTACCAATCATCTCCATGTTTCACACGAGCATGCTCTTCCGCTATAATCCACAGGAACCACCATTTTCGGTTATACCAGCGCGACACCTCCCGTCACAAGAGACCTTTATTCGTTACTGCTCATAGTAAATGTAAACGAATCCAGGGAGCTAAGTCTCTGCTGAAAGAATGAGGCACTATATTGCATCTAAAAACTATAGCTCTTATGATTAACGTTGGCTCTGTAATAGTGTATTAAATAAGTGTAGGTCCTCGATCCCTGCTTAACTTTCCAGTGAGAACTGAGTCATCGTTGAACGATATGCATATAACCCCTTCTATGGTTGCTGCTATCATCTGCTATCCCCACAAAGGATGTGGACATTATAGTATCCGTACAATAATCATAAGTAGTTTGCTTCTGCACCGGCTCATGTTCTCTCTAAACTGTATAATAAGTGCCTCGCAGCCTCTTGCTTTCCTGCCTGCCGGAAGTTCTTATCTGTTCTTCCAGTTTTTAAGAACCTGATATGTCCCGGAACGAAGTAGTTAAGTGGTTTTGGCTACTATAAACAAGTAGAATACGGTAGCAGTAATCGACTGGTACGCGTCGTAGTCGCAGGTAAGAAGTGTAGATCAATGGCGTAGTCCAATGGGCGTCGTTATAGACTTAGCTCTCAGACTAAGGTTCTTTGACTCTGTTGTACCTACACGTCCGTCGGTATTTATGACGGACACCAGCCAATCATATTCCAATGCGGGAGAACACAGGTGTAAACATATTCCATTATATCAGAACCCTATTAGCCTTCTACCTCTTTTGGTAAAACTCCTAGAAGCCCTAATCAATGCTCAATTGGTTAAGAATCGCAAAGCCTTCTTTCAGACAGGCAATATGGCTTTCGTTTCTCTAAGTTAATTACTGATGTACTGACGATAACTGTAGAAAGAGTCTATCAAGCTCTAAATAAGAATGGTGAAAGCCGGGCGCTTGCTTTGGAAAGCTTTCGACTGGGTTTGGCATTCAGATCTTCTTCGCAAGCTGAAAATTTACGGTGTCTCCGGACAAATTTTTGTACTAATCCTATCTTTCCTAGCGAATTGTGACGTGAAAGTAAACTTGAACGGCCATATTTCTAGTTTCTTTCGTACTGACGGAGGTTTCCCACAGGGCTCCATCTTTTGTCCCACTTCTCACTTCAATATCTATGCTGATGACACAATCATTTACTCCTGTCTCGATAGTAAGCCTGATCACTTTGATAAGATCAAAATGGCCGCTGATGTCCAAAACAACCTCAAGTCTGTTGTTAAATGGGGCAAAGGATGGCGTGTTAATTTTAACGCCTCCAAAACTAAACGGTTCTGTATTAATCATCTGAGAGAACATTCTCTGTCTTTCATCAGCATGACAAGTTGCGCCTTCCTGGGCTAATGTGGAAAGACTATATTGAATACATTGCTAGATCAGCTGCAAAGAAAGTTGGTTCACTATCTCGAAGTAGGCAATTCTTCGAGACAGAATCTCTCTTGAATATTCTTAAGTCTACCATTCGTCAAGGCTTAGAATATTC